AATCAGAGAACAGTCTTTCAAACTATTCTATGATGGCGATCTCATCCTCATCAGTGAGGGTTTTCTCAGTTGAGACCTTGCCATGAAGAAGATTCTCAATTTCTTGGAGAGCAGCATGATTTTGTATCATTTGAGAGGATTACATTGCAGTATTCTCTTGGATTTGCAACTGATTTCCCTGGTAAAGATCCTTGAGCTTGAGAAGTGGAGTTGCCCTTCTTGTTTTCTAGAGTCTTGACTTTGGAAACAAGGTTGCTAGCTGAGTAATAAGATCAGAATAAGAGCAATCCACCTTGTTGTGGATCTCTGCTATTTTCTTGCTGAATTCCATTGCACCACTTGCTTGACCTTAGAGGATTTGCTATAGCAGGTTCTTCATTTCTTGATCTTTAATCCCCGCGTTCTGTTGGAGACTTTGTTGTTGGGGAGGGACAAAACCTTGTTGGTGACTGTTTTGAGGATAAAATTTCTGGGTTGGGGGATTCTTGTAGTAGTTAAATCCCTTTTGGTAACCTTGTTGGCCACCTACAAAGTTCACTTCAGCTGTGATGTCTTCTCCTTGAACAGTGGCCTGAAATACGTGATTCACATATACAACAAAGTTAACTGACTTATGAGAAGCTAGGAGAAGTTTATCTAGCTTCTCATTGAGAGATTTGATTTCTTTCCTTGTCCTTTCCTCATTTACACTCACAGCTCCTCTTAAATTCCTGTTAAAGTCTGACCCATAAAGCTCATCACTCTAAGCGACATTCTCCACAAGGGTCTTGGCATCATTGACTTCTCTGTTCATGAAATTACCATTTGAAGCTGTGTCCAAGAGGAGTCTGACATTTGGTAAAGCACATCTGTAGAAGGTACTTAGCAGCTGTGAATCTGAGAATCAATGGTGGGGGCATTGCATGGTATATCCTCTAAATCATTCCCAAGCCTCACAAAATGATTCATGGTTCTTCTGTATGAAACTTGAGATTTCATTTCTCAACCTTCCTGTTCTTGATGAAGAGAAGAACTTGGTCAGAAATGCTCTTTTGCATTGCTCCCATGTTGTAATTGATCCTTGAGGTAAAGACTTTTCCCATTGATGAGCTTTGTCTCCTAGAGAAAATGGAATTAGCCTCAACTTAAAGCTATCCTCACTCAGTCCATTCATTTTTGTTAAGTTACAAACTCTATCAAAGTTGTCAATATGATCCAATGGGTGTTCTAATGCCAAGCCATGGAATCTGTTTGATTAGACCATATTGATCAAGCCAGACTTGATCTCAAAATCGTTTTCAGGTGTTGGAGCTTGATTCCCATGTCTATGATCCTGAGCATTGCCCTCATCACCAGCTCCTACAACTGTTTTTAGACGTGGTGGTGGATCCTCTTGCTGATCCTGGTGGTTTCCATTACCACCATGAGCCTGTTGCTCTTGATCCATACCCAATCTCTTAGTGTGCTCAGCTCTTTCTCTTTGTCTTCTTGCTTGAATTCTGGTGCTCATACACCTGAAAACAAACACAACACTTGAAAGTTAATTAGTAAAACAAAATAAAATGACTTGATCTCAAGAAGATCCAAAGTTCTAATGCTAGATTAAACTCTCCAATTGGCAACAGCGCCAAATTGATAGTAAGAACTTTTAGGTTCAAACTCAATTACTCAAACTACTCATATCATTGTAGTATTTGAGGTATTAATCAAAATGGAGATTTCTAGACACTAGAACTATGATGAATCAATTCTGAATCCTAGTCCAATTAGACAAGTGGTGATCAAAGAGGATTTAACTATAAAATCTAAACAAGCAATGATGATAAGCAAGCTAACAACTTAACAAAACAAGCAAGAGAAATAAACAAGACTCAAATTCAAAATAAAGATAAAGCTAAACCTTTAGATGTGATCATTGATCAGGGTGCTTTAAATGTTAATTCATGATGCTAAGCAAACAATGCAACACTTGCTATTCTTTAGTCTAGACTTCTAAATCAGATTAATTCATTCCCATGACAATAATCCCTTTAATAACTACCTAATCAAGACTAATTCCCATTAGTGAATAAATAATTAACAAGTGTAAGGTTTAATATCTAATATGACCGAACAGCCTCTTTATGCATCAAAACAAGAGCTAAGATAGACTGAATCTTATACAGAAAGACATAGCAAGCATCACATGATATCTAAATCCAATTAACTTAGAACTCTAAACAAGATCATTCCTTTCTCAAGGCAATAATAACTATATTAATTAACATTCAAACCTAACTCTCATTAGTGGTAATGACGATCAATATGCATTAAAAACAACTTCTAAAATGTCATTTATGTTTCAAACAAACACTGTCATGGCATTCGAAACATAAACCCTTTAGTTAGCTCATTCAGACATTTCATCAAACACCCTATTGGTGGAGAATGCCTAAGGTCTAGATCAGAGTGATTATCAAAGATATAACATTAGGAACAGCTAACTAAGGAAAGGAAATGAGAATATAGAATCTAAACATCATAAATCAAACATCTAAGCACCCTAATCTACACACCTAGAAGCTTAAAAGAAAAACTACTCACTAATCATGCTTAATACACTTAATCTTTTGCAAGAGGTGATGATAAACATGATTAACAAGATAAAAAAGAAGGAGAGAATGATAAGAAACAACCTTGAATGATTAAAAAAGATGTATCGCTTAACAAACTTTCACCACAGAGCAAATAAAATAAAAGAGTAAAATATGGATAAAAGATATCTTGGGTTTTTAACACCAAAAACTATTTATATAGTGAGCTTTGGACCGGGTCAGCCTAGGACAAACTCAGTACTGACCCGGCTTTGCTGGGTCCTGAATAGTGTGCCTCGAGCTGATGTCCAATTCTCCAAGTCGAGGCCTCCAAGTCGAGGCAGCAAAAATCTGGGTAAGAACATGAAGAACATGCGAGGTCTTGGCTTGATTCTTCTCGAGGCATATGAGCCGTGGCAGGATTTTTCTTGTTCTGGAAAGTCAAAAAGAGTAGGCCTCGAGGTAGTGCAAGCCGTGGTCTCAAGTCGAGGCATTGCATATTTTGTTTCCGGAGCTGCCACGAGTTCAAAACTTAGTCGTGTCCTGAACTCGAGGTTTTGGACATTTTACTTCGGGAATTGGCCTCGGCTTGTCTGTGAGTCGTGCCCTTTGTGTCGTGGGATGCCTAAAGGATGTTGAGAAGCCATTCCACGAGTTGTAGTGGGTCGAGGCATTCATGTCAAGGCATATGAACACTTAGGATACCAATTACTCCAATGGTGCTCAGAATCCGAGAAGACATGTCTTTTTCCCGCTTGCGATATCTCCCAGCTTACTACTCGAAATGAATTGATTCCAAACGTTCTCGGAAGGTAACTCAATGCTCTCAAATCTTGATAAAGGCACCGGAAACTGGATCGGAAGGGAAGGGCTTCGTCCTAGATGATCTTTGAGGTGTATCGAATCGGTCCAGAATGGATACGAGACAGGTTCATCTTCTGTTGGCCATATCTTTAAGCTCATGTTGTATTGTATCCGCACACGAGGTTACTTCAGTAAATTTGTCTAGGTGGAGCTCGGAGATTCTTGATTAAATAGAGGTGATCTCGAGGTGGATGTTTCGAGGTTATTTGGACGAGGTAAATTAAGCGATGTTAGCTTGCGAGGTAAGAGTTTGATTATAAATCTAGAGTATTCTTGTCCTTGTTTCGGATTACGGATCCCGTAATAAATGAAATTACAGGGCTATTTATAGTGTTTAAATTAGGTTACATCTCGGTCAGAGTAGCTTGGGCGGACAGGCAGATAGACCTGACCGACCGTCTATCGGAGCGTCGTGGTGGCGAGCTGCTTCATCCATGTCGACGTGGCGAGCTGTCCCATCCATGAGGAGGTGGCGAGCTGCGCCTTAGATACAAAAAGGTTACCTATTTGAACGACCTCGTTTTACTCTTCGCACACGGGCTTGTTGATCTTATTGGGCTTTCACTTCGTTAATGGGCCTGAACGAAATTACAAAAAAGGGGGCTGTGCTCAGCCAACCTACAACAATTGTCCCCCCCCAGTCCGTTGATGGAGATGTTACTTCAATATTCAACGCGTCGAGGTGGAGAAATTTCGTCCCTTTGGGTTTCGACATCGATGCGGAATCTTCGGGGTTGAGGTGATACTTTGGGGAATGAGGAGTTGCAAATGGCCAACGGCTGTCTTAGGTAATTAAGAGTCGCGAATGGAAGCGTGATTCTTGGAAAGCGATGAGTCGCAAAAAGCAACGGTCGACTTAGGTAATGAGGAGTCGCGAGTGGAAGCGCGTGGAATCCGTATCCAAATAAGATACTGGGAAGCGTCCGGATCATCATTACTTTTCTCGGTAACCACCTCTTTTCTCACTTATATATTCTGCTCTCCTCCTCTTCTTCTCATTTTCTTCTCCGCTTACAAAAGGTAATCTTGCTCTTTCTTCTCTCTAGAATTTTTCTCTCTCTTGGATTTGTTCTTTTTCGGCATGGCTTTTCCGTTTATCGCGAACTTTTTATTGTTATTCGTCGTTGAGTGATGACTTTGGGGGGTCAGCGTATCGAGTCGAGCTTAGAATCTGGCTCTAGATCTGATAGGGAGTCTTCCGAGAGTGCGAGCTCTTCTCCTGAAATATCTTCGAGGTCCGATACTCAGTCGGATCGAGAACAGTCTCCATCTGCTGAATTAGTGGATCGAGTCCGCTCTGAAGGGGCGTCTCCGCGAGGTGAAACGGACCTTCGGATAGTTCCCTTCGAGGAGGATCGACGTGATGGGGAGGCTTCAGAGCATGTCGAGGACGAGGTCGACGAAGGGGGGGAGGAAGAAAATGGGCAGGGAGATGGGGAAGAACAAGGTGAGGAAGTCAGACATCGACGGAAGGGCTCCAAACGCAAGGGAGCTATCAAAAATCGACTAGTTGACATTCCGTCTCAGATGACGGCTCAACGCCTCGAGGAATTTCAGCTTCGATACGGCTTTTGAGGAGAGCTGATGGCGCCGGGACCTGAAGATCGACCGTGGTATGCTCCAGAAGGTTGGGTCACGCTCTACGAGGCGTGGTTCAGCCTTTGCCACCTCTGGGTGCCTCTTCCGAGGCTGCTGACAGATTATGTAGATCGTCGAGGCATTGCGTTCTCGCAAATTCTCCCTGCGGGAATTCGATTTATGGTCGCGGCTCTGCTATTTGGGAGCGAAGCTGGAGTCAATGTCGATTGGCGTTTCTTTGAAGAGATGACCAACGTCCAAAAGAACAATTCGATCCCGGGGACGTACACAATAAAAGCGAGGAAGGACTGTTCTTTAGTCTACCCTGTCAACAGGACGCCGAGCTGGGAGGCGTCCTTCTTTTTTGCGAAGGTGGATGAGACGCTGGTTGTCGACACCTCCAGGAATTTTAGGAACGAGTGGAGCGACAGCATCGGTAGATCGCTAGTCTGGTCGTGTCTCGAGTCTTTCCTTATTCTTACTAATGTGTTTTCGTCTTTTGCAGATCGCAACGTTCAGTTCAGAGCTTTCCCGGAGAACTTCCACGAGAACATCCAGAAGATCAGAGCAATCGGAATTCAACACTGGCTTGACATCCATCGCCGAAGAGTCGAGGCTGCCATTACCCGTATTACGAACGGTAAGTTCGATGTCTTCAGAATTTTTTGATTTACGTCGTTTAACATATTGGTTTGTTACAGCTAGCTGGAGGAGGGAAAAACAGTTAAGGGAGAGAGCGATCGCGATGTCTCCGATTCAAGTGAACGCGCCTAGTCTTTCTGCGAGGCTCAGGGCCAATCGCAGTAGTGGGGGGAATAAAAGTCGGGAATCTCCCGCTCAGTCAGATCGTCCGACCCAAGCGACGGCACCTCAAATTGTCAACAGGGTCGAGGCTCGTCGAGGCTCGTCGAGACAGTGATCTCGTTGAGGATCGCGCCCAAACGGTTGAGCCTGAGGTGGGGGCTCAAGAGGAAGGTCAGGCAGTTGCCGAGGGGCCTGATGAAACTGCGAGGCGAGCTAGGAAAGAGGCAAAGAAGCTAAAAAGAAAAGAGAAGAAGAAAAAGGACAAGGATGAGGTCGAGACCACCCAGCTTACCGGGGGGGTGAACCAACCCGAGGTTGATGAGTCGGCCGCGAAGGAGGGATCAAGGAAGAGAACCTCCGGCGAGGTGGTTGCAGGTGGTGATCGCGAGGAGCCGGGAAAGAGGTCGAAGGTTGATCCCACTGGCGACGGTAGGGCTCCGGAGATCGATTGGAGCTTCAAGTTTGATTACCCCGAGTCCGGGGTGCCCCTTGTCAACAATGCTGACAAATGCGCTGAGCTCTTCGGATTGATAAAGGGATCTACCTCTGAAGTTCCCGCCGCTGATGACGCGGTCTTCAAAGACATGGCGGGCTACGCCTTCAAGGTATGTTGTGAACTTTGTTTCATATTTCTGGCTTAAGTTTTACCTCTGCTTCGATCTCAATCTGATTTAAGTTTTATCAGTTTATCGCGAGCTGCAACCGCGCGCAGGGTCGATATCACCGAACGATTCGAGCTGCTGCAACGAAGCTTTGTAATGCTCAGTCTGCTGGGCAGAGAGCCGTGGAAGAGCGGGACGCTGCGATTGCTCGGCGAAAGTCAGCTGAGGAGAAGTGGCAGGTCGAAAAAAGACGCTCCGAGCAATTGGAAGAAGGCGTGAAGACGCTGACTGACAAGATCGAAGAGCTGAAAGCGGAAAATCAGGATCTGATCAGCAACCTGCAAACGGTCAATGAAGCGAAGCTCCAGGCTGAGAAAGTGGTCGCGTCCGAAGTGGCTCGTGTCAAACGTCATGCTGAGGAGAAGATAGAATCCGAGACTACTCGGATTTGGGCAGATGCGGAGAACAAGTTCTCGGGCCGCATAGATCGATTGAGGACCTTTATCGCTGAGCAGGAGGCCATTGTGAAGGTGAAGCTAGAACTTGTTCAGGCTCGAGGTACTCTCGAATGCCTCGATCTCTTGAAGGATAAAGAGATGACCGAGGTCGAGTTGCGGGCTGATCTCGAGGTGACCATGCGCGACTGCGAGCTGAAACTTGAGAGACTTCGGCTATCTGATCTTCAGGAAGGCGACATGCCCCCGCAATATCCCGAGACTCCGGACGGTGGTTCAAATCATGACGAGGCTGAAGATCAGGGGCATCGCGAGGATGAAGAGGACCACGAGGGTGGCAATCAGCCTGACGAGTAGATCTCACCTGTCTTTCCCTTATATGCTATCACCTTTTTTCTTTTTACTTATTATTATTTTGTTATGTTGCCTCGAATGTAATGACTCGACTCAATTTCATCAATGAATGCTTTTTTAAGAAGATAATAGATACGGGGTGTATTTAAGCAAAGCAAAGCGATTAACGGGGGTATTCTTAGTTTTAGCTCGTAATTAAGACGACAATAGATTTGAGATGAAATGCTTGATACGAGGTGAAAATTGGTTCAAAAAGATTGGAACGAAGTGAGAACTTACTTATTGGAACAACACTCTCGAACGATAGGCGCGAGACTTGACCTACGAAAATAATGGATGCAAGGTACGAGATGCGGGATAAAATTTAGTAAAATAACAGGTATGAGTGAAATAATAGGTGCGAGATAAAACTCGGTTTGAGGGAAAAATAGGTGCGAGGTGAAACTCGGCTTAAGGGAAGAATAGGCGCGAGGTGTGACTCGGCTTACCCTGTTTTATTTCATTAATCGTGTCCGAATAGTGATAATGATCTCGACGTAGTTATTCGGCTGATTTAAGAAAGGATGCGGGACTGGTCCCAGCTTATTCTCTCACAATCGTAAGGTTTTTGTTCCTTAGGATTGATTAAGAGTTTGCATTGTAGGGAAATGCGTATTAGGGGATCGAACATCTAGCTAGGATGTCGATGTGAAAGATGTCGAAGTGAAAGTTTGTATAAATAAAATTTTATTAATAGCTGTACCTCGTGAGAGGTTGCCTACGTACCCAACAAACTGGGATCAAGCCGATCGTAGTTCACATATTCGAGACATAGCTCGACCGAGTATAGCTCGGTGAGCGTCCTTTTTTTTTTTTTTAGTTTTTTTTTTTTTTTTTTAGTAGTAGTACCGCTTGATGTTCATCGAGTTCCAAGATCGAGGTATCATCTCGCCGTCCATCGTCATCAGCTCGTAAACACCAGGTTTAACAACGTTAGTGATTTGGTAGGGGCCTTCCCACTTTGCGCCCAGTTTTCCGGCGCGGTATTCTTCGGTATTCTCGAACACCTTTCGAAAGACGAGGTCGCCGGCTTCGAAGTGCCTTCCTTTCACGCGTTTGTTGTAATATCGTGAGATTTGCTGCTAATAATTTTGCATACCTAACAGGGCGTGATCTCGCTCCTCCTCGAGCATGTCGAGGCTATCCTTCATCATTCTTCCGTTCTTTTTACCGTCTTGTGTCAACATCGTTCTGCGTATAGTTGGTAGACCGACCTCGGCGGGGGCTAAGACTTCCATGCCGTGAGACAACGAGTAAGGGGTTTTATTCGTCGATCTGCGCGGTGTAGTTCGATGTGACCATAGGACTCCGTCCAGCTCATCCGCCCATAAGCCTTTCTTATCTTCGAGTCTTTTTTTGATGCCGTCGAGGATGGTTTTGTTGGTTGCTTCTGCCTGTCCGTTTCCCTATGGGTATCGTGGTGTTGACTTGCTAAGTCGTATTTTCCATTTGGCACAGAAGTCCTCAATTACATCGGAGACGAACTGGGAACCATTATCGGTGACGATCTCGTAGGGCAATCCGTGACGGCATATGATATTTTTCCAGACAAAGTTTTTCACGTCGGTTGCTTTGATTTTGGCGTAGGACTCGGCCTCGACCCATTTCGTAAAGTAATCGGTGATGATAAGTATGAATCGTTTTTGTCGGGATCGAGGAAGTGGACCGACGATGTCCATCGCCCATCGCATGAAGGGATAAGGTGGCGAGGAAGCAGCCAGAAGCTCGGCTGGTGTGTGGATCATTGGCGCATGTCGTTGGCATTGCTCGCAGCGAGCTACGAATCGATCGCAATCGGTAAGCATTGTTGGCCAAAAATGACCGTGGTTCTTGATTTTTAGAGCGAGAGCTCGACCGTTGGAGTGATTTCCACACGCCCCTTCATGTGTTTCCCGCATGACATCGAGTGTCTATTCGCCGTGAAGACAATTGAGCAGGGCGCCCGTCGAGCTCCAACGATAGAGGTTGCCGTGTGACTGAATGTATTTAGCGCTTCGATTTTTTAAGCGCCTCGCTGCCCATCGATCGGGTGGAACTTGGCCGTTTGTAATGTAGAGCAAGATTTTGATCCTCCAATCTTCAGTTGCTGGCTCTTGTTCGGCAGGTTCATCGATGACCTTAGGGGGAGGTAACTCGACGGCATCCAATCTGTTCGCTTCGAGTTCTCGAACCGCGTATACTCCTCGAGGTAAGACAATGCTAGGGGAATCGATGCTTTCTACTGAGATTACGCACCTTTGATGTGGTTCAGACGTCGATGCGAGGGCGGCTAGTGCATCTGCTGAGGTGTTGTCACTCCTCGGAATTCTGGTGAGTGAGAAAAGTTCAAAGCGATCAGCGAGGTTTTTGACGGCTTTAAGATACAAATCCATCCGGTCGTTTCTGGTGTCGTAATCGCCGCTATACTGACTAGCGACGAGCTGGGAGTCGCAGAAAGCTTCGATTTTTTTGACCCCGATTCCTTGCGCTAGACGTAGTCCTGCGAGTAAAGCCTCGTACTCCGCTTCATTATTGGAGGCTGGAAATTCGAGCCGGAACGATTGCTTCAATATCTCTTTCGTCGGAGATTCTAGGCGGATGCCGATACCTGCGCCTCGGGACGAGGAGGATCCATCGACGTATAAGGACCACTTCTCGTCAGGTAGGTCGGTCTGGATTAGCTCTGGCGGAAGCTCTACCAGAAAATCTGCGAGGACCTGCGATTTGGCACTTGTCTTATTGCGATATTCAATATCATATTCTGTCAGCTCGACAGCCCACTTTGCCATGTGACCTGACTGGCTCGGGCTGTGCAGTATGGTTCGAAGTGGTTGATTGGTCAAGACGATGATCGAATGGGATTGAAAGTAGGGTCGTAGCTTTCTGGCAGACATGATGACCGCGAGTGCGAGTTTCTCCAAAGTCGGATATCGTTTTTCTGCGTCGTCCAGAGTTTTACTAACGTAGAAAATCGGTTTCTGCTCGCCTCGATCTTCTTTGACTAAAACGCCGCTTACTGCCGAGCTCGATACAGCGATATAGAGGTAGAGGGTTTCGCCTGTTTCAGGTTTGGCTAAAATTGGAGGGCTGGCGAGGTATCCCTTGAGCTGTTGGAAGGCCTTCTCACATTTACCGTCCCACTCGAAACGTTTGTTGCCTCGGAGAAGTTGATAGAACGGAAGACACTTATCTGTGGATCGCGAGATGAATCGGTTGAGTGCTGCAATTCGGCCGGTAAGACGTTGGACTTCAGGAGTGTTGCGAGGTGATGGGAGATTGATTAGGGCATCACTCTGCTTCGGATTTGCCTCGATTCCTCGTTTTGTGATGATGTAGCCTAGGAATTCTCCGGAAGTTACCCCGAAGGTACACTTAGTTGGATTGAGCTTCATCTGGTATTGATTTAGAACGGTGAAGCAAGCTTGCAGATGGCCGATGTGATCACCGGTGGTGAGCGACTTTACTAGCATATCGTCGATGTAAACCTCCATCGTTCGTCCCAATTGATCGGCGAACATGTGGTTGACTAGTCATTGGTATGTTGCGCCCGCGTTCTTTAAGCCAAACGGCATTACCTTATAGCAATAGGTTCCTCGATCGGTGATGAAGGATGTCTTCTCACGATCTTCGAGATGCATCGTGATCTGATTGTACCCGGAGAAGGCGTCCATAAATGATAGGAGCTCGTTGCCTGCCGTCGCCTCGACGATTCTATCGATGTGCGGCAAGGGGAAACTATCCTTGGGGCATGCTTTACTGAGGTCGGTGAAGTCTACGCAGATTCACCATTTGCCATTTTTCTTTTTGACGACAACGGAGTTTGCCAGCCATTCTGGATATTTGACCTCGATGATCGATCCAGCCTTTGACAAACGTTCGACCTCATCATTGACAGCTTGTGCCTTTTCTGGACCTAATTTCCTCCGCTTATGCTTGATCGGCTTAAACGTAGGATCGATGTTAAGCTCATGACTTGTGATTGAGGGATCGATCCCGGGCATATCGCTTACTGACCAGGCGAATGTCGTTGCATTTCGGCGAAGAAGTCGTACGAGCTCAACCTTGATCTCCTCCTTTAGATCGGCTCCTATCCCTACGCATCGTTCGGGGTCGCTTTCGTCGATGTTGACTTGGACGACGAGCTCCTGCTTCGGTCTTTCTTGAGTTGGCAAATCGACTTGAGTTACGGGTAGAATCGTAAGACACGCCTTGGCTGGAATCGCGGATTTGGATCGGAGCTTGTGCTCTGCGGCGAAGCAGAGTCTCGATATCTCCTGAGAACCTCGGATGGTTTTTACCCCGAAGGTGGTTGGGAATTTGAGGCATTGATGATAGGTCGATGGTACCGCTTTCATGGATTGCAGCCAGGGCGTTCCCAAAATTACGTTATAGATGGCGGGTTTGTCGACGACGACGAATTTGACGAGGCGAGTCGTCTTTGCCGCGTAGACTGGAAGCCTGATCGTTCCGATCGAGTAGACTGTGTCTCCATCGAATCCCGTGAGTGGCTTAACCGATGTCAGTTCCATTTTGTCAAGCGTTTCTTTGAAGATCAGGTCGACCGAGCTTCCTGTATCGACCAGTATTCGAGATACTTCACAATCCGCGATCCGCAGCTCGACCACAAGCGGATCGTTATGTGGCATGTCAACCCCTTCCGTGTTGGCCTCGGTGAAAGTGATCACATCGTTATCGGCGGTCTTGGGGCTTTTAACTTGCCATTTTTGTGCGAGCATGACCTGGCGGCCGTACTTTTTTATCGACCTGACGGAATCGTTGCACGTCGATAGGCCTCCCATGATAAAAAACACCTTCTTTCGAGATGCCGGAGGAGTGTCACATCGAGGTTGGTTTCCACGGTCTCTCTTCGCGACGTCGTCGTTGGATTGATCGTTCGTTGGAGGAGGAGGTGGAAGCTGTTCGGCGGAAGCCGTTGGTCGAGCCTCGCTGTTTCGCGGCGTTGTGTTTTGGGGCTGGTTTGCTAATGCGATCTCCCCCTTGCGATATTTTGTGAGCAAATAGGCCTGTAGTTCGCGACACATCGCAGTCGGGTAACCATATTTGTTGTGATAGTCGCAGAAGGGTCGTGTCTCTCCACGATCTCTTCGCTGCCAGGTGTTTGATTGGTTTTGGTACGGGCAATTTTGCTGCTGTTGAGTGATGATGTTGTACGTCGCTCCTCGGCGATTGTCACCTCGATAGTTATTGTCGAGGTGTTGTCGAGGTTCCTGATAATCTTGTTTGGGGGTATCTTTGTTAGGTTGCTGCTTCGGTGTCGCTTTTGCTGGCGACGCGGTCTCTTTTTCTTCTTCGTCTTCGATGTATAAAGTGGCACGGTGAAGCTCGTCTTCGAGAGTTCGGGGTTTGCTGAACTTGAGGCTGTCCCGAAACTTCGAATCGATTCGCAGGGCATTCCGAAGAGCTGGCAGCGATGCTTCGTCAGTCACGGTGATCCGAGAAACGATCGCATTGAACCTGCTGATGAAAGACCGAAGGGATTCTTTTTCGCCTTGTTTGATCTGGTAGAGGTCGGCGCTGGAAACTGCGCCTTGGATATACATCATGTACCTCTTGAGGAATGCGGTCGACAATGCTTGGTAGCTGTCAATCGAGTTCACTTTTAACTTGGAGAACCAAACGAGGGCCGCACCGCCGAGGTTTTCAACGAACAGTTGGCAGAAGCCTGCATCTTTTTCCTCGGGGGTGAATCGTGCTCGGCCCATTTGAATGCTGAACGCGGTCATGAATTGGCTTGGGTCCGAGTTCCCTGTATATGTCGGGAGATTGAACTTCACTTGAGTTCTAATCGGGAAGTCGGTGATTCGGGTCGTGAACGGCGTGCTTTGGCTTTCTTTCAACACACGGTCGATCTCGGGTGCCGAGCTAGTGGCTTGATGTACAAGCGAAGTCATGGCTCGCAATTTGGCCCTCATCTCGAGCATTTCTTCGTCTTGCTGTGAGTTTCTTATCTGAGGTCGACGCGTTTCGTGTTCGGGAGCTCCGATGTTCACCTCATCGTAGTTCGAGGCCGGGTGATTTTATGTCGTTGGTGGTGCGGGCGAATCTCCGAATAAGGCGCGCTGTACTCGTTGAATTTCTTGGGCACGTCTTTCTGGAGCTTGGGTCTCTGACGAGTGTAATGTGTTGACTTGATCTTGACAAGAAAGTTGTGCCGCGGCGAGCTCGTTCAAGCGAGCGCTTGTCTGATGATTCAGCTCTTCCATTCGAGCCATCATTGTTGCGAATAACGTTGCGACGTCGATATGAGCTGGCGTGCTTTGATTTGCAGCTTGCGCTTCTGGGAGCGAAGTTGCGATTTCCACGGGATTTATCGTTGGTGATTGCCTATTCGAGGTCTCTGGATTGTTAACCGGTGACGTATGAAATCCCTCTTCGGCTGTAGTTGAGATGGGTAGACTAGTCGTCTCATTGATTTGAACTCCTGACATTATCGAGCCCCTCTTTGCGTAGAAAGAAATCTCTTTGCCCCACGGTGGGCGCCAATTGTTGTATTGTATCCGCACACGAGGTTACTTCAGTAAATTTGTCTAGGTGAAGCTCGGAGATTCTTGATTAAATAGAGGTGATCTCGAGGTGGATGTTTCGAGGTTATTTGGACGAGGTAAATTAAGCGATGTTAGCTTGCGAGGTAAGAGTTTGATTATAAATCTAGAGTATTCTTGTCCTTGTTTCGGATTACGGATCCCGTAATAAATGAAGTTACAGGGCTATTTATAGTGTTTAAATTAGGTTACATCTCGGTCAGAGTAGCTTGGGCGGCCGGGCAGATAGACCTGACCGACCGTCTATCGGAGCGTCGTGGTGGCGAGCTGCTTCATCCATGTCGACGTGGCGAGCTGTCCCATCCATGAGGAGGTGGCGAGCTGCTCCTTAGATACAAAAAGGTTACCTATTTGAACGACCTCGTTTTACTCTTCGCACACGGGCTTGTTGATCTTATTGGGCTTTCACTTCGTTAATGGGCCTGAACGAAATTACAAAAAAGGGGGCTGTGCTCAGCCCACCTACAACAGCTCACTGCTTCAAATCCATTGATTCTAAGTTTTTCTGGAACCGTGATTCGATCCTATTGATTTGTGATGAAGGCACCGGAAACTGTATCATACCGGAAGGCTTTCAGGTAAGGCGATCTTTGAATTGAGAAATTTTGGCCAATGATCGTGACCCGTGGTACGTGTCTGGGCCGATAACGGCTGCCAGCAGTACAAAAATGGCCGATAAACTCTTTTTTGCAAATTTCACCATTTCTACATCCTTTTTCATCATTTCCTTCACTGGTTTCACTTCTTCTGCTCTCAAACACCTCCAAAGCACCTGAATATCACTCCAAACATGCAAGACTCCTTTGGACCTAATACATTTCCTAAAAAAAGCTAAAACCAAGGTTAAACTCTAATAAAACTACCTAAATGCATGCATGAGACTCTATATTTGGACTAAAAATGCATTCTAAACATGTAAAGATATGAATATATCAATTTTCTTGACAAGATTTCAGATGCGACGTTTGCTGGACTCTCTTCTCAAGATCCGAGAAGTGTTCCTTGCTGAATCTCTTGATGGATCTCTTGAGAAAGTTGAGCTTCTTGGAAAGAATAAACATAGATGCGCCATGGAACTATAGCCTCTCCCAAGTATCTTGGATCTTGGTTATGTAATCAGGATGATACATAAGAAAATTTGATAACTTGAAGGACTTGGGCTTATCGCGATTCTGATTTGCAACCTTCACACAACTAATGTAATGGTCAGAAAACTCCATGTCGCCAAAGACACCTTAGGACAGAGTCGAAGCCATCAGCCAATTGTTATTCATAAGAATTCCATCAATCTTCCTCGCAATGGGGGACAAATGATTTTGTCATTTCTATATTCTAGAACTTGTAACATCTTATTTATATACTATAAGTTTTTGTTTTTTAAGAAATGAACTTTATTTTGTAAGATATTATATGAAATGCCATTCTAAATAAGAAGAAATAAATGAAATAAGAAAAAAATATAAATGTCTTTTAAAATTATTGAAAATAATATGGATATAAATCAAAAAAGCATTTTTTTTTACTAGTCATATTAAGATATTAAAATATATTCTATTATTTTAAGTAATAATCAATTCAAATATATTCAAAAATTCTATTTAAAATTCTGCAATAGTTTTCATTTGTATTTTCATATTAATTTGTATTGTATTCAAAAAAATAATTCAATTTTTTAAATAAATAAATTTAATTGTGTTTTCAATATTCAAAATTGTAGTTCTTTAAGGGTTGGTTTAAAAATATTTTAGTCCATTACAAAATAGAGTAGACGGGTTAGTCCGTTTTAAAAATACTATATATAATCATTGGTTAGACATATTATAGAATTTATTAACCAAAAGTGATATCTTGATTTCAAAGAAAAACATTCACAATCAGATTTTTTTTATACATATATACATTGTAATCCATCTTCGTATGTCTATAAGTATGTATATACTAAATCACATCACTTTCACATTTGAAAATTACTTATGTGAAAGTGATATCTTGATTTCAAAGAAAAACATTCACAATCAGATTTTTTTTATACATATATACATTGTAATCCATCTTCGTATGTCTATAAGTATGTATATACTAAATCACATCACTTTCACATTTGAAAATTACTTATGTATTAAACCAAACAAAACTAACTCAAATACATATTCAATGGATACATATACGTAAATATTCATCGTTTGATATTTATAAATATATGTAGTTATCTATTGCCAACCAATTTTCACTAAACTAAACTTTTAAAATTAAAATTTTAAACAATTAAAAAAATTACCCCTATAAAAAGCACTTATTTCTATTCGTTGGAACTTTAATGGAATTCTGTTTGTATTTTCGAAATGCTAGTAAAAGTATGAACCACGCTGATATTTTTAGCTACAGTTGCAAAAGATTCTATTCCTAGTGGTCAAAGAAGATCCATCAAATAGATTCTTTCTTTAAATATATGCTGATCCCGATTTGAATACTCCATTTTTATTATTATGTTGTTGAATATCTTCCTATTATGTCCCAAATTGTTTTGTCGAAAACATGAATGGTTTGATTTGTTAAGGGTGCTAAAACTCATTTACGGCCACTGCCCCGATGTGGCACGTACTCGTAAGTCGTAATCTCTGACCCAATCAACATGATTATGAACCCAATATATTATATTTTCAACAACCGAGATAATTATCTAATATATTTTCAACAACCGAGATAATTATCAAGAAAATGCTTTGACACAGCCAGAGCCGTGCTTAGATTTATAGAGGCCTTAGGCAAAATTTAAACATGTGATCTTTATTATAAAAATAACACTTTTAGAAAAAACTATAACAATGAATTAAAACATACAAAAATAATAATAATAAAGAATAGATAATATAGAAATTCTAAATTATAATTATTTTCATTTTTCCTACAAAAGCATTTATCAAATTCACATATTCAATTTTTTTAATCAATTCTTTTTATTGATATGATAACCAAACTGTTTAATTTCTCTAATAACAATAAAAATGTTTAAGATTATGAACTTTTTAAAACAAATAAACTAAATACATGTATTAAACTATATATGTAAGCCTATTTTTGAAATAAATGTAGCCTTATAATTTTGTTAACTTTGATGTGGCCTTAGGCCATTGCCTAATTTTCGGATTCCATGTCAGACCAGGTAAATTTTCGAAAACTCTTTGCTTTTTATGGATCTGATATGCGATTTTAAGAGTAAAACACTCCGACATATGATAAAAGTATATAAACCTGCTAAATTTGGACAGATCCCAAATTCCGACATCCCGCAAAGGATATTCAGCCCGGGAAATGTACCATTTGGTGATCGGGTCAACATTTACCAGAAAATGATGGTTATCTCCGATATAGATGCCGCTCTGAAGCAATCAGAAAGAGATTTTTTGAGGTCTTTGCAGTTTGGGAAATTGTTTGAAATTACCAACCAACCCGCTTGGTCTGGCGCATTTGGTCTGTTTACTCTCACTCGTTTGTTAGATGTTAAGAAAGAGAATGAGATTTGGTTGGTCTTTGCGGGGAAACCTATTAGGTTCTCAATCCGCGAGTTCAAGATAGTATCTGGGCTGAATTGTGATAAATATCCAGCGAATCAGAAGAAAAAAAAAGAAGGCCACATGTTGTTCCAGAATACTTCAAGACTCTGTTTGGCGACGAGAAGGAGGTCCCCGTAGAAAAGCCAATTGAGATTTTACAGAAGAAATCTCAATTAGATTCCCAGATGAGACTACGATACGTGTGCCTTGCCATAGTTGATGCTTTTCTTGTGTCTTCTGTCCATTTTAGTCGCTCAAAGGTTAGCATGGAGCATGCCAAAATGGTTGAAGATCTCGATGCATTTCTTCAATACCCTTGGGGGAGGTTGTCGTTCGATGTGATGATGAATTCCATTAAGGGTAGAAACTTATCTCAGATTTTGACTGCCACATCACGGTCGGGGGCCTTTTTCCAGCTTTACAAATGGTAGTTCTAGAGGCTGTTCCATCTATTCAAGCTGACGACGATTCTTCAAGTGAGGAAGACAGTGGTCCTTCACGCATTGATACTCGGCGCGGGTCACAGAAAGTTCAGTTGCAGCTCAACAAATCAAGAGTGCTCGATGAGGAAGAAAAGGTATGTATTCTTATTTTTGGAGGGACTAACCGTGGTATCAGCTAAGACTAATGTTATCGGGTAACAGATACGACGCAACAAATTTGTTATCTTTACAACCTTATACCATAAATATGTACTGCTAAGGATGAGTCATAAATCGATATCAACGCCGATTACTCTTTATTGCAGGTGGACGTTCATTCAATAATTCGACTAGATTTCATACTTAGGAATGA